CAACCAACGCGAATGATTACTGACATCTGTTGGATCATCTTCTTCAAGGGGCCGGAACGAGAGTGACTCTCCATACGGCTGGTCAGATACATCTCTTTGTACTGATACAATGCTGTTGAAAAGAGGCATGCCCGAAAGGTCCAAATTGTGCTGGATCTGGGCTAGTGACGTGTGTTGATGAGGCAGAGCATCGAAATACTCATTCTGCATTGAAGCAACAGTGTCGAGGACAGTGTCTTGCTGAGCTAGCCGTACGCGACACACCAGCATGTTGATAAAAGCTCCCACCGCGTGCTCAATGCCCACAACTGGAACATCTCTGCCTGCGGCAATGTAACCAAAGCAGACATCTTCGGCTCCCGTGTAGGCATGCAAAACCAATGCCCAGGCTGTCTGCAGCACGTTTGCTAAAGTGAGTCCGTGGTTCTCGGAGAATCGAGACAATGCAGAGGCATCTGTGAATGGCACCGGCACGGAACGGATCTGCTTGGGGCTGCCCTCTGCTGGATACAAGGGTACAATGGTCGGCTGCACACCGTCCAAATATTTTGTCCAGTATTTGAGTGATTTGCTGGCAGTCTCCGGCGTATGAATAAAATTGATGTAGTCACTGAATAGAGCGGGCGGCGCCGAGAAGGAGTGGTCATCGAAGGCCTGCGAAAGTTCGTGGAGGATAACCTCAGTAGAGCCTCCGTCGACCAAGGCGTGGTTGATCTCGACTTTAACAAAGACATTATCACCAGCCGCACGGCAAATGGTCAAACGATGCTGAGGCTGCGCAGGCTGGTATGTTGGTAAAGGCAGGGCTTGAAGAAACTTGATAACGACGTGCTCATCGTGCTCGTCCAAAAGTTCGTGAATCTGGATGCAGGCCGGAGCTTGCTTAAGCACAATCTGTTGGAAACGACCAGCTGTGTCGACGAAAATCGTTCGAAGCATCTGGTGCCGATCTACCACTGCCTGCCAGGCCTTTTGCAGACGATCGACAGTGGTGAATGCATCTCGGGTGGACTCTACTCGCAGCACCCGACGGACTTCGTAGGTGCCAGGGAACTTGACTTGACTAAGTAGAATGCCGTCCTGCATGGGCGAGCAACCGTAGATATCCTCTACCTGGTTGCGACTGGTCAAGCCTGCCGCTTCTAGAAGAGTATTGTCCACGGTCGCGGCCCGCTGGGCCGGGTCAGAATTGGTCTTGTTCTCGGAATTCTCTTTTCCCTCTTGAGATGAGTCTGCAGGCGTCTGAGTTGCCCGTGCGGCCAATTCAATGATGTTAGCAGCGCGCAAGACATCTGGGACCGAAACGACCAGCTGCTGCTTACGGCAACGGGCCACGATCTTCAAGGCAGTCAGGGAGTCACCGCCAAGGGCGATGAAAGATCGGTTAGTCTTGAGCTCTGCGGCAGGGATGCCCATTTCTTCCGCCCATATCTGCTGCATTTGCAATTCCACATCGGTCGAAAGACAAGTCTGAGGCGCATCATCACTCACACCGGCAATCTCGCGGTAGATCTCGTCGGACATCTCATGCAGCCATTGGGTCATTGAAACGACGTGGACTTTGCCTGATGTTGTGAAGGGCAGTGCGGCCAGCACCACCCAGAAGGTTGGTACCATGTATGCTGGGAGATGTGCAGCCAGTTGCGCGGTAATTTCTGGCAATAAGAGACGCGCAAGCTGCGACTCCTCCACAGGTAAACGATGGACACTGGTGTCACGCGGACCATTATAGGGGAAATCATGCAGCGATAGGACGCCAACCAGTCGACCTTGACAGGGACCCTCTTTAGGCAGCAAAACCAGGGAATGTCGGACGTGGGAATTTTCCGACAGCCGCTGTTCGATCTCGCCAAGCTCCAGGCGTTGTCCGTTGAGCTTTACTTGGCGATCTTTGCGGCCGATGAAGTTGATAGTACCATCACTGTTCTGGCGAACTAGGTCTCCTGTCTTATACAGCCGGAAAGCCGGCGGCGACCGGGGCAGGAGGGCAGAAAAGGCAGGAAGCTCGTCTAAAAAGACTGCAGCTGTTTTGACAGGCTCATGAAGATAGCCCCGCGCGACAATGGGGCCCTGAATTACGAGTTCACCAACGGCACCGATGGGAACCAGTCGGTCATGATCGTCGGGATGCACCACCCAGCACAAAGCGCCGTATCCAACGCCAATGTTAGCTGGATCAGACGTGAGTGACAATGGCTCGTTGATGGTCGCTGCGACGGAGCATTCACTGGGACCATAACCTAAGGAAGTTGTTAGTGGAGAGTTCAATTGAGCCCAAAGGAAGAAAAATCACCGTTGATCAGATGCAACTTGTCGGCCCATGTTGTCACATCTACGCGCCCCAGACCTTCTCCACCAAGGGCGAGCGTCTTCAGGGTAGGCACTGAGGCCGGGTCAATCATGCGCACCAAAGAGGGCGTCATGAATGTCCAGGAGATCTGGAGGTAATTGACAATGTGGGCAATCCCAAGTGCCGCCTGTTCATCGTCGCAGAAACAAATACAGGCGCCGGTAGTCAGCGTAGTAAAGATTTCCAGCATGCTGACGTCGAATGTGTAGGGCGTCATTTGCAGCACCCGACTGGAGGGGAGGATTTGGCCGGCCTGTACGTGTTGTGCGGCGGCTGTTAGGAAGGACTCGTGCTCGACTACACATCCCTTGGGAGTACCGGTACTGCCTGAGGTAAAGATGATATAAAGGGCATTCTGCGGCGTAACGGTGACAATGGGGGCCTCCGTCGCCGTCGGTAGCTGTTCGAGGGCATCTTCGGAGACGGTCACAACAGAGAATTCGCTGTCCCAGAGACCAGCATGCTGGACTGAGGTCAGCACTAACGGGGCTTGCAGCTGAGCGAGCAGTCCTCGTAAGCGCGTTTTTGGCTGTTTGGCATCCAGGTTGACGATGACGCCACCGGCCTTGACGACGGCAATCATGGTAACAATCGCCCACTTCGACTTCTCGAAGAATAATGGCACTGATATTTCTGGGCCGACTCCAAGTTGAACCAAGCGCTGCGCCAGGCGATTTGAATACGTTTGCAACTCGCCGTAGGTCATACGACCATCTGCTCCTTCGATAGCCATGGCGTCAGGTCGCGCCTGGGCTGTCTCATCCACGAGGTTGTGAAGACAGCGTGAGACCACAGCGGGCGCCGTTTGATTCCATTGGGAGACCTGCTGCAGCCCTTGTGGACTCATCATACTGATCTCGGCGATTGAGAGATCAGGCTGCCGAATAATTTCTCCGAGCACATGGCTCAGGGTCGTCGCGCAGTGATGGGCCTGTGCCGCGGGAAGCATGTGGGTGGGAAATTGTAAAAAAATCCCCAGGTGATCGGGGGTTGCTGTCGCCTGGACGGCAATGTAATCTCCAGTCTGTTTGAATAATTTAATATCTTCTTTCACTGCAATTCTATCCGCTGACGCCGACTGGATTACCAAATTCCGACTTCAGATTGCACGCACCTCTTCCCACTCTGGGGCATTGCTGTCCGATAACAGCACTGCGCTGTTGAATGCTGGATGGCCTTCCACAGCCGTCCGCTTCTGCAATTCGGACAAGCTTGTCGCCGACGGCACTGCCATGCTCGTGTGCACCTGCTGTTCAGCCTCCGCCAAGGTCTGCTGTACTGTTCGTCCGCCGTCAATCACGGTCTCAGACAAGCCGACGTAGGGCACCCCGGCAACGTATCGAACAAACAGAACATTGACCGCCTCGGTGTCGGCGTACGCCGCGAGCACCAAAGACCAAGCAACGTTCAACACACTCATGAGCGTCAATCCGCGGGGCGTGCAGAAGCCTGTCAGGGCTGCGGACGAGATGTCGGACCGCAACTCCAGGGCAATTCGTGTCTGGCCAACTCTGCCACCCACTGGTGGCACGGCCAGTTGTTCATCATCTAGAATAATTCCGTCAGTCAAAAGGGGAAACAGGGATGTACCTGCTTTGAGCTCGAATGGCAACTCAACATGGTCAAATTCCATGGAAGGTTGTTCGCCGTAGTCGCCCATGGTGAATTAGAAGTGCTTTTGTGTATGTGATTGTGATTAATACGACTCGTATAGGAGCCGTGGAGTGTGCGATGAATGAATGTTAAAGGTGTTGGATGGGATAGGTAGTCCAACAACGAAGCTTCACTAAGAGCGCGAGAGTGTAGGGCAGAATGACGGACGAGACTTGCGCAGTCAGAAAGTCTGGGAGATGCTAGCTCTTGAACAGATTACTACTTCGCGATATTCCCACGACCTTTTGGCATTCGCGATCGCATACTTTCGTGCAGGAACCGACCGCAATCCACCAATAAGGTTGTGTGGGGGCTATCGCGCAACCTGGCAGTCACTAGAGGAGGCTTGCCTGAATCGGACAATGCCTTTCGCTCATCCGGTGTCTCGCTCGGCATCAGTAATACACTAGTCATACAATCTGTAACCACTAAGGGCTAGACCAAGGGGCCACATAACCACCACGTTTCTGACTCTAGGCGCTGCAAGGGGCGGAAAAGCTGGATGGTGAGGTACAAGGTCACAGATACGGTTAGGTCGACGCTAATTTTCGACTAAATTCTGATGTCTCACCTAGCGGCTGATCGTGCAGTAGTTGGGTGGAGCACGATCGTGCTTAGCTCACCGTGCAGCATGCACGGGCACGGGTAGATCTGCCATTCCCTGCTTACCCTCTTTGTGGGTTTGCTGTCACGGTCAGGCCGGGGGTCAAGGGAAAGCAAGATGCGCCACATTTCGTGATGACAATCGTGCAGAGTGCGCAAAACCCGAGGCGAGCATGACTGCCATTACCAGCACCCGACTAGTATAAGCCCAGCTCGACGAATCCTCTGACCACTCAGCCCCTAGCTTATCTGCAATCGGCCATCTTACCTTGGCCCTTGGTGTCGAGGTAATTGTTCCACTATGCTGGCCCCATTGCTGGGTCGTTGTGGGCTCCCCACTCGCACTAGCTGGGGCTATCTCTCTGTCCAGTCTTCGAGAGGGCAGCGCTTCTGCATGCATACCAATCGTGGGATAATAACCCAACTGCTACGTCTCATTGACTCCACACAGCACATACAGCAGTATCTCGGCCAGTTTCACCCTTCGCAGGGCGAATCTCTGGCCGTAATCGCTCTCGGGCCGGACTCACTCTCTTCGCCGCGAACCGCCGTGCGCGAGCAGCTCGAACAGCTTGCCGACTCACTAGCATTCCTACGCAGAGTCGGTCTGTTTCCTGTTGTCGTACATGGTGAGTTAGACCTGGATCTTCCGTCCATATCGAGAGTGGAGGGGCCCAACGATCAGCCGAATCGACTATGTCGCATCCGCACGACGAACTACCAGCTCAGCGCGCTCCTGGAGCAGCAGGATGTCGAGACACGGCCCATCTCCTCTGGTATATTTACGGCCGTCTCTGAATCTGACGGCACGATGTCCTACCATCAGGGCCATGTGACAGATATTGCCACCCAGGGAATCAAGTCCGCTATCCATAATGGCTATATACCGGTCGTGGCAGCATTGGGCACTTCATCTGCAGAGTCTCGCACGTATGCGCTGGACGCCTATGATGCCGTTGCGCAATTGGCGCGAGTACTGCAACCGTTGCGTAGTATTTTCCTCGTTCGCGACGCCTCTCCCTCCTCCATGTCGGCACTCATCGCTACTTCTCCCGCGATGCACGATCTAGCGCGAGAACTCAGGCCTCATGCCAGTATCATGCTGGGGGAGGCCACGGCCTTGCGCAGCACCATCTTTCCTGATCCCGCGCTCTGGACGGTACTGCGTAATCCACGGATCGTCCAGTCTGCCACCTCTCTCCAGGATTTTCCTTCACGAAAGGCCCTTCGCACCGCCCTTCAGCGTCACGTCATCTCCAATGGGGCCATTGACATCGATGCACTCCTAACGCAGCTTGAGACCAGAGACTTCATCGCTTACTTTGACCACGACCCGATCTCGTCAGCACCAGAACAGACAGTCAATAACCTCGCGCTTGTTTTCACGCAAGCATCGTTCCCATGGCAATTTGCTCCATCGCTGCCATCGGGTGATGCGGAGGCATATGCTCCACGCTCCATGGCCACATCCGTCGAACAGGACAGTATCATCGGAAGCATATCAGAGCTCGCCTTGTTTTCCATCTTCCACTTGGATTGGCATAATGGCGTGGCTGAGCGATTCTGGGACCGCATTCGGGAGGACCACGTTTCGCTCTGGGGCTCCCTGGCGGAGACCGATCCCAGTCTATCGTGGTGGCTCACTCGATCCTCCGGGCGTATTAAGCGACAGCTGGAGGGAAAGATTTACATGTGGTACGGGCCCGTCACTTGACCGTGTAGAAGGCGGCTGGGCTGTTCAACCTGGACTTTATTATTTCATGATGGCTTAGGGGATCGAGGTTGATATAGAGATATGTGCAAGCTCAGCTTAATGATAATACTTGATAATGATTTTGGTGAACGAGACACGTAGATAAGTAGTCGCATCTAAGCAAGAGCGCGTGTGTGATAAACTGGTGTTGGGAAACAAACGGTCGCGTTGCCATACTTTTTCTGCTATAGTGCACCGCCTTTTAGGCATGCTCAGCTCAACACCTCACCCGTATTCCCTAGATGTTTGTTTTTTTTTTTTTTTTTTTTTTTTTTTACTGCGCACGAGTTACTTTTGCTTAGGAGAAGGTGCAGAACAAGCCTCGTTTATCAATCAGTGCGTAAATCTGAAATATCAAGTGCTTTTAATACTTGTAGATGGTACAGTTATAGATGCACCTGGGCACCTCACGGCGCCGATAATATATATACTATATCCAGAGACCCCCAATCGCTGTTGTAGCCACTGGCAACAACGCAATAGCCACGAGATAGTAGGATACTTAAGCGAGTACCTGATGGATAAGATGCAGATCCGAGAAACTACCTACATATCTAATAATATCAATTTTCAAGGTCAATGGCAAGTCGAGTAAGATACATGCGTTGAAATGGCCCGTTTTCAAGGTTCCAAGCTTCCCGTCCGGGCCGACCCCGAGGTCCCGAGCCCCGTTGTCTACTTCAAGTTCCAAGGTTAGGATAAGACTGTTCTGACTACCTACATAAGGTCGTGAGCTCTAGCATTATCTAATTTCATATTGATGTTTTTCAAACAACAGCACATTTATGACATCGAAGTTGATTGGATGGAAAGGTAGTGGAAGTTCAGGTTGGGGAGAAACTTTTGAATCTTTGTTTTACCTCTCTGCGACCGCCGCCCGGACTCCTCTCAACCGGTGGACTTGAAGTCTGGGGTTTCATTTTCATCTGGACACTAATAGCTAAACATGAAGGCTGTATCTATATTTCTTAGCTATACCTACTAAGTACATTTTTTGTTCCCTAGCAGCCATAATATCAAACCAAACAGGCAATCCCGACGATCAACAAGATGGTCCAGGGCGTTGCCCAACCAAAGCTCCTGATAAGAATATCCACTCATCACACGCTTGTTGCCCTTACATCCAATCGGGCATTATGTGCCACTAACAAGCTCACTACCGCAACATGCCCGTTCTCACTCGCCAGATGCAATGCAGTGGCTCCGCATCGGTCCTGAACGTTCACGTCGATCATATTCGAGGCGAGTAAGAGCCGTACAGTGCCAAGGCTGCCTTGTTGAGCAGCGATATGCAGCGGGGTCTGGCCGCTGGCGTTCTGAATATTGATACTGGCGCCGCGTGAGAGCTCTTGATGAAGCATGCGCTCATGAGCAGAACAGCAGGGTGGACTACGATCTGGCTTTTTGGCCATGGGACTGAGATGGTGTGATTGTGGCTGTGAAACTGCTGTGGGAGGATTGACTTGACTGGATGGTGGGGTGGGAGGGAGAGATGAAAGGAGTGCCGGGTTAGATTGAGTGGGCATGGGGCATTCGTCCTGTAAAGAGTTAATCGATAAAGTCACTTCATCGGCGTCACAGAGCAAAGTACAAGTGAAAAGACGGAAGGTTAGGCCACTTTTTGAAGAGCAGAAGAGCAAGAGCAAGGGCCAAAGAAAAAGCCAAAAAGCAGGTGACATACAATGGAGAAAGTTTCGGAGTGGAAGGGAATATCGTCTTGCGGAGCACCGGGCAGGGCTATGTATAACTCCGACTCGGACGTAGGATCATCAGTGATAGCTGTCCAGCCTGCTGAGCTGGCCAGGTTGTCATGGTGCCACTTTTTATGAGGATAGGGCCAAATAGACTCGATTTCGGCTTGCATCAGGCTGCCGCGAAACTCGTGCATAGCCTCGGTTTTAGGAGGTTTCTGCCACAAAGTTCTATCTATTTCAGTCATGAGCAAATAAGCAGGGGGTCGAATCTGATCACAGGCAGAATCAGACTGTGTGCATTGGACGAGCCGTGGTCTGCGTGCAGGACTGGAGCTGATATCTTGTGTATTGTGAAGAGGGAATGGGAAAGTGAAGGATAGGGAGAGAATGTCTGATTTCGATGATGTCGCTCTCGTCTACGGACGACTACTATTGCCGCCAGGGACACTGGACTTACTATTTAACCGGTGTGTCGAGTATTGAATTGAACAGCAAAAAAAAGTATTTCTACGTAGCTACCATGTATAACTTTCGCCATTTGAGTCACCCCAAGCGAGTCCAGCTGAGCAGTGGAAGTTACCGCCCCCAAAGGTTGGGGGCGAGGGCGAGGTTGAAGGCGCAGTGGGAAGATGTAGCGACGGTTGGCTTGCCAACAAAAAAATTCTAATCCTCATCTCAGGCTCGGAGAAATTTTCCTGGGCTTATTGTGCTGATGCTGCATAGTGTTGCATCTACTGAACATTAGAAGAGTGACCTTGCAGTAGCGGCGGCTGTTATATGCAATGTCATTGTCAGGCAAGGACCGTGTGGCGTGGCTGCGTTGCTGACAAGAAGGAGTGGAAGTAAGCCCCACGAACTTAATAATAAAACTATTGACAGAATACCTCCTAAAATTGGCTGAAGAGTCTGATACCTCACGGCTGGGACCCTCGTTGAAATAATTCACTCCATCTGTACCCGTCTCTTCACCAATCTTTCAACTTGGACGATATTGGCTTCTAATTGCTAGGATGACTTTCCCGACAGCCCCTGCGCCCGATGTTGGTCAGTAACAGTGCTTAATTATGCACATCGAGTAATTTCAGTAAAGGCATTAACACAATGTAGAATGGACCAAATTAGGTCTGGCTGTGACCGATATGGGTGAGTGCCTCTCCAAAGATTATTCACCTTGCTATAATTTCTTCAAAATGAAGCTAATCGATTATTACCTTCCTAGTCAATGGTCACATCGAATCAACCTATTCGGTCGAAGAGGGCAACTGGACAGCGCCCAAATTCATCGAGGATCCCTATCTACGAGTGCACGGACTCTCAACCGCCCTGAACTATGGCCAACAGGTGTACGAGGGTCTAAAAGGTACTTATGGGACATCAGGTTCACAACAATCAGTCCAAAAATCCTAACAACCCCAATTAGCCTACCGCACCCAGAGCGGCAAGATCCAAATCTTCCGCCCAGCCTTCCATGCCGCGCGTATGCAGCACTCGGCAGATGTGGTATCCATTCCACCTGTGCCTATTGACCATTTCATTGCTGCCGTCAATGCAGCCGTCGTGTACAATGCCGAGTGGGTTCCCCCCTATGAGAGTGGTGCAGCCCTGTACATCAGGCCCGTGCTGTTCGGGTCCAGCGGGCACTTGGCCCTCACGCCACCGGCTGAGTATACGTTGTGTGTTTATGTCCAGCCATTCAGCAGTTACCATGGAACGGCACCGCTGCCGGCGGTGACTTTGGAAGAGTTTGATCGGGCAGCTCCCAAGGGGACCGGGCATGCTAAGATCGGAGGTAATTACGCGCCCGTAATGAAGTGGTCGAAACACGCGATGAAAGCAGGATTCCCGATGACGTTGCATCTGGATAGCAAAACCGGGGAGGACATTGATGAGTTCTCAACCTCGGGGTTCATGGGCGTCAAGATCATGCAACAGGAAGGGGGAGCGGAGCAAGTGGTCTTGGTCGTGCCGAAGAGTGATAATATCATCAACAGCGTGACCTCGGATAGTTTGATGGCGATTGGAAAAGGGTTGGATTATCAAGTCGAGCATCGCACGGTGAGTTTTGGTTTCCCATATTACCGGATGGCTGGCTAATGATGACCAGGTCAAATACGCGGAATTGTCGACCTTCAGTGAAGTGATGGCCGTGGGAACTGCCGCTTGCTTGGTTCCTATTCGCTCGATCACGCACCAGTCGCGCGGGGACTACTTTGTTTACACAACTGAGAGCGCTGCTGGCCCAGTCTGTCAAAAGCTATATGCAGAGTTGACGAGTCTTCAGCGCGGTGATAGAGAGGATAGCCTGGAATGGTGTCATGAGGTGAAGCAAGTGCTCGATGGAGTTGTGCAAAAGTGAATAAGAGAACGTCAATTACATATCATGAGAAACTCAGGACCACTGAGTTGAAACTGTCCGCTTTCTCAAGTGAAAGAGCTCAAGTGTCAAGATGTGGGAATTTTCCGGGATGTTCTTTCCAAATGTCCCAGTAAAGAAAGTCTTCACAATAGAAACAACATTTGGGATATATCTTACTGCTTTATTCTCAGAAGGTGTAACGTATTTTGGACTTACAAATCAGGTTAGGTGACAACGAGGTAAGGGCCTGGGTGACTACGCATAAATGCAATAACAGTTGTTTAATACAAAGACATCAGACCGCATAGCAAGCTTCACCTGTAAGACTGGGAGAATGGCGAAGTAAACGTACAAAGGCTCCGTGCAAACACGATATCATTCAATTCATTCGATCGCGCCATATTATCTTTAAAATTCTCATTCATCTGTCTAACAACCCATCTTGCTTACTGGCGTAAGCGGAGCTGCACAATTGGCCCATTCTTTGCCGCCGTGACATGATCATGAAGTTGATACTCCCCCTCACGGCTTCGTCCGGGCCCCTGAGAAGCCGAACCGCCGCCCACATCTTCGGTGCCCGGTGCAGGACGGAAATCATACTTGGACAACAGATAGGCCATGGTCAAAGACAACTCAGTCAGGGCCAATCCTTTGCCCAAGCAACTTCGGGGCCCAATTGAGAAGGGTGTAAATGCGGAACGAGCAAGTTGGACCTTATCGGGCTCGTCGAGCCAACGATCAGGACGATACTCGAACGGCTGCGGATAGTACTCGGCATTATGATGGACAGCATAAATGCAAGTACCAACATCATAGCCGCGAGGAATTACATGCCCGTCAATCATGACACCGTCCTGGATCACCTCGCGCCACAATGAGCTGCTGGCCGGAGGAGACATACGTAGAGTCTC